CCCCCACCCCCCCCCGCACGGCCCCGCACGGCCTCACTAACACTGCCCCTCCCCCACCCCCGGCCTGCCCAGCCCCTCCCCCCTCCCGAGCCCCCCCTCATCCTCCCCTCCCCCAACACCCCCGGGGGGCTGCGGGGCCGCCCCGGCCGCGGGGGGAGGGGCTGGGGGGGCAGAGGGTGTGTGAGGTGTGCGCAGGTGTGAGCACAGGTGTGTACAGGTGTGTGTGTAAGGTGTGCACAGGTGTGTACAGATGTGTGAGCACAGGTGTGTACAGGTGTGGGTGCAGGTGTATGCAGGTGTGTGTGTACAGGGGTGTACAGGTGTGTACAGGTGTGTACAGGTGTGTACAGGTGTGTACAGGTGTGTACAGGTGTGTACAGGTGTGTACAGGTGTGTACAGGTGTGTACAGGTGTGTACAGGTGTGTACAGGTGTGTACAGGTGTGTACAGGTGTGTACAGGTGTGTACAGGTGTGTACAGGTGTGTACAGGTGTGTACAGGTGTGTACAGGTGTGTACAGGTGTGTACAGGTGTGTACAGGTGTGTACAGGTGTGTACAGGTGTGTACAGGTGTGTACAGGTGTGTACAGGTGTGTACAGGTGTGTACAGGTGTGTACAGGTGTGTACAGGTGTGTACAGGTGTGTACAGGTGTGTACAGGTGTGTACAGGTGTGTACAGGTGTGTACAGGTGTGTACAGGTGTGTACAGGTGTGTACAGGTGTGTACAGGTGTGTACAGGTGTGTACAGGTGTGTACAGGTGTGTACAGGTGTGTACAGGTGTGTACAGGTGTGTACAGGTGTGTACAGGTGTGTACAGGTGTGTACAGGTGTGTACAGGTGTGTACAGGTGTGTACAGGTGTGTACAGGTGTGTACAGGTGTGTACAGGTGTGTACAGGTGTGTACAGGTGTGTACAGGTGTGTACAGGTGTGTACAGGTGTGTACAGGTGTGTACAGGTGTGTACAGGTGTGTACAGGTGTGTACAGGTGTGTACAGGTGTGTACAGGTGTGTACAGGTGTGTACAGGTGTGTACAGGTGTGTACAGGTGTGTACAGGTGTGTACAGGTGTGTACAGGTGTGTACAGGTGTGTACAGGTGTGTACAGGTGTGTACAGGTGTGTACAGGTGTGTACAGGTGTGTACAGGTGTGTACAGGTGTGTACAGGTGTGTACAGGTGTGTGTACAGGTGTATGCAGGTGTGTGTGTACAGGTGTAAAGTGTATGCAGGTGTGTGTGTACAGGTGTGTACAGGTGTGTACAGGTGTGTGTGTACAGGTCTACAGGTATGTCCAGGTGTGTGTGTAAGGTGTGTGCAGGTGTGTGTGTTCAGGTGTGTGCACGGGCATGTGTACAGGTGTGTCCAGGTGTGTCCAGGTGTATACAGGTGTGTGCACAGGTGTGTGTACAGGCGTGTTCAGGTGTATACAGGTGTGTGTCCAGGTGTGTCCAGGTGTGTCCAGGTGCCCTCACACACCTGTGCCAGCGGCCGCGGGTCTGCCCCCGTCCCCCCGGGGTCCCCCCTCCCCCTCGCACGCCCCCCGCCCTGCACGCCCCCCTCCCTCCCGCCCACCCTTTGCACGCGCTTGCACACCTGTGCACGCCCCTGGCACACCTGTGCACGCCCCCCGCGCGCTGCCCCCACTAACGACCGCGTTTGTGTCTGAGCTTTCTTCTGCCCCGGGACCCCCCAAAACTCGTTACTACCCCCCCCTCCCCCCCCCGCTGCCCCCCC